GAGCGCGAGGGGTCGTGCAGCGCTGCTCTGCGCAGCATCCGTGGCGTCCGTCGTGCTGCTGGACGCGGCGATCCTCGAAGTCTGCTCGGCGCTGCTGTCCGACGCGGTGCTACGAGCCAGCGCGCTGCCCATCACGCCCAGGCTGCCGAACGCCACAGGGCGACGCTTCGCCGGCGCAGCGGGGCGGAAATCGACCAGCTCGAAGCCGTCATCCTCCAGGGACGCATCGTCTGCTTTCTTGGCGGGGCCTGAGCTGCCGGCAGTGCCGAGCTTCTGTTTCTTGGAGACGGGTGACATTGCGGTGGAAATGAGTACGATTGTCGAGCAGGGATTGTCGAGTAGGGGTGATTCGGTGGATGAGGATGAGTGTGTCAGGGAATGGATGGCGAGAGCGGGGACGAGCTCGTGAGGTCTGCGAAGGGTGGCGAGAGCTGGGGAGGGCGGCGAGGGAGGGGAGGACCGGTGCAGGCTGGGTGGTGCGGCCTGGACTGGCCTGGGCTGGCCGGAGAGATACTTACCAGTTTGGCCGGACGCAGACGCGTCGGGATCGCGCCGAAGGGCGGTAGCCTGTCCGGTCGGATAAGCCGATGAGGACCATTTTGCAGTGAACGTACGCGGTGGCCAGAGGCGCCGACTGACTTGGGGTCATCGGCAGAGGCAGGATGAGCCACGAGAAGGCAGAGCATGAAAGGGACTTGTTGCGGATGGGTCTGCCGAGGGTATACGCACACGTATATCCTCCCCGCCGATGCCCCGCAAATGCGTCTATTGGTACTTGAGCTGGGACAGGCAGATGAGAGGGCGCGAATGGTGAGCATCTGGACGTATCGAGCAGCGGTCGTCGATTTATGCCACACATACCTCGCCTGCCTCCCGTATCGCCCCATCTTCGGCAGCGTGCTTTGCTGCGGTCTCAAATGCGTATACCTCCTTCCCCGCGCGCGGAAACGAGCTGCAGACGCACGGCCGACGACGCTCGAGTGCCGGCATCTTGTGGAAATGGGGGCGAGGGGTTCTTCAGATCTACAAGGAACTAGGGAAGATAGCGGGGCCAGCATCAACAATGAGATGTACCGGGAATTGGGACCGGCCGTTCGGGTCAGCGCGTGACCCGCACCAAGATGCGCTAGAGCGTGGTGTGGGGCTGCTGGTGAGCTCGGAGGGTGTTGAGGCGAGGAAGAGACAGGTTTGTTGCTGCTGTCAGTCGTGCACCGTCCCGAGCATTGTGACGACACCCCCTCGCCCTCGCTCGGTCCCAGGCCGGACACCCATCCGCCGACGGCGCAACGGGCGACACCTTGGATGCCTTTCACCCCGCGCATTCCGCGATACCCAGGACCGCTGGAGGACGAATCGAGACGGACGGCGATCACATCGACGAGCGTGCTCGACCGACTTTTGCAACGTCCGTTCCTGGCGACGTCCGGGCGACGTCCTGGCGACGTCCTGGAGCGGGAATCTCTGAGTGGATCTGTGAGGGAGATAGACAGAGTGAGGGCGGGTCAGCATCGAAGCGCGCCGAAGACCATGAGCAGCAGGAGGGAGAAGGACTCACCCAATGTCGGCGACCTTTTCCGACGAAATCCGGTGAGAGCGCCTGGTGACGGCGCCCTCGCTGGTTGCCGCCGCGCCGCGGAGCCGCCACGTTGCCGGCTGCCTCTGTGAGCCGCCACGTTGCCGGCTGCCTCTGTCCGTCAGACCGGGCTGCGCGAAACACGCGAGCTATAAAGCCTTGGTTGTCTTAGCATTATAACCATTGCACCTGAATTACCTGGTCCGAAGGGACGGGAGACAGCCGACGATAGCGGCGGCAAGAGCGGAGGCGGCGGCAGCGGCGGGCGGCTTTTTCGATCCGGTTGATTCGGCGGATGCGGTGGTCAATCCGTGGGCCTGGTTGCTCTAGCGGTCGTGAGTGTTGATTTGCAGGCGGCGACAGCACCGGAGATCGAGTCGATGCGGTTGATGCGATCGCCGCGGAAGAGCGAAGAAGGCAAGGGAGGCCGTCAGCAGTCGATCTTGAAGCGGTGAGGGCGTCGTCACAAGGCTCACCTGTCCCTCGCCGGGCGTCGTTGGACTGTAGGGCAAGGTGTCTGTACCACTGCGAGTGGCTGAAGAGGCGCTGAGGATGTCGAGGTGACGGCGAGGGTAGCTACCTCGGCCAACGACGTCGGAAGAGAAAGTCGCCCGCGAGCCAAAGCGGCAGGCGGCGAATGAGGGAGGAGAGGAGAGCCATCGGGTAGGGGCGCTGGGGCGGTGAGTCTGAAGGCGTGGTAGCGATGGTCCTTGTGGTGGTGGTAAGAAGAGCAGTGGAAGGCGGGCGAAGGGGCGAATAGGCGAGCAAGCGCGTCTACCCCTGTGTTAGGCGGCTGCCCAACATGCCCCGCGGGCGCCCGAGTCCCGAGGAAGGGCTGGCGGGCGGCGGCGCCGAGCGGCAATTGCCGCAGCCGGCCCCTCGGCCACGGAGGGATATCGAGGGAGCTAGTATATAGTCTCCAGGTCCCCGCGGAGGCCTCTGATGGTCTCCTTGTCTAGTGTACTATATCCTCTTACCCCTAGAGACTGGTACAGCATCGATATCCTTACTCCTCCTCATCCCTGACCTCTCCACGCAAGCCCTACACCGTCCTCGGCCGCCCGCGGTATCCAAGACCCCGAGGGCATAACATTACATTCGACCTCTAGCCTTGCCGACGTCAAGGATGACTCGCCCCAAAGTGGCGGACAAGCAACAGGCTGCCGTGGCTTTGCAGCGCAGGAAGGAGGTGGTTGTCTCGCCCTCACGTTGATGGCTGTGCACGTGATTGGCGTATGACTCCGCCCCCTTTGATGTCATCCGCTCAGCCAGCCCTTCTTGCATCGGCCGATCAGGCAGGCAACATTGTCAGCCGTGACCACAGCAGCTGCAGCCTGCAGCTCTTTGATGAGCTTTGCACCTTAGCATGTTGCCACGTGGTCTGTCGCTTGGCCTTCCAATTTGCCTGGATTGTCCTTGCCGCAGCTTGGGCACTTAGCTCTCCAGACTGAGAACCTGCAGCCAAGGGTGCAGTCAAGCATGGTGGCAGCCACCTTGTCAGGGGTGCACTCCGACTTGGACCCAAAGAGCCCTGCAAAGTTGGTCAGGGGCAAGTCCCTGTAGGTCGATTTGTGTATGGCATTGAGTGGACAAGAAGGTCCAACCTTTGCAAGTCAGTCCCAGCAAACTTCCTTGAGAGCATTGGCCCTGGTGCATAAGAGCATTGGTGGCCCTACAATGATCTCAATGTTGCACAGAGTGGCCAGTGGATCTTGTGCAGAGCAAGCCACTTGTAGGTCTGCAGAATCATGATGGACAGGTTCATAGGCTGCAGCAAGGACTGAAGGTATTTTGTGCACTAGCACAAAACATGTCTTCAAGCCTGCTTGTCATCACATGCACTTACTTGCCTAGGTCTCATAGACCTGAGCAATGAAAAGCACCATCTCTACATGCTCACTCCTTTGCAGCAGGTGCCAATTCATCATATTGGCAATGTGTTGCATGAAGCACAGCAGGCAAAGGGAGAGGCACTTGATGACATGAGGAAGGCCTCCCTTCTTTGCTCAAGCAAAGGGCACAAGCACTGGCACCTTGGCCTTGTCTGCAGAAGGAGGAGATGATGGAGACAAGGCTGAAGATGCAGAGGATGGTAATGCCAGCTTTGATGTAGATGGCCATATGAGCAAGGCTGAGGCCATCTGGAGGTGTGGCGGTACAACAAGACAGAAAGTTGGAACTTGATGCAGCCCCTGGACCTCAACATGGCTGGGCACTGTAGCAGCTGTTGCCTGTTGCATGTCAGTCCAACTTGCAGAGTATGCTTCTCACATAGATGACACAAGAGGGCTGTCCAGCAGACCGACCTCTTCATCTCAAAACCTCAGGCTGTTGCAGCAATCTTGCTTCAAGTCAGCACGAGCGCGGTAGCTCTTCGAGCTTGCTCGTCATCAGAAGCTCGATTCCGCCCAGACCTCACAGCACACCTGCATCCACGCCTCGAAAGGACTGATGAAAACCAAATGATTGTCAGGAGGGGCACTCGTTGGGCAGACACAATGCTGGTGATGGGCAAGCAGAGGGCAAGGGAGCGGGAAACAGTGCACAAGGTCATAGGACAAAACGAGGGGCGGGGGGCAAGGGGGTATATCGTTCGTGTACCGACTCTTGTCTAGCGCGGCCGCGCTCGCGGGACGACGAGCGAATCAGGTAGGACTCATGACAGTGCGGATGGTCGGGAAGAGATGTATGGATGATGACATGCCGGATGCTGTTGAATGATGGACTGGATGCTGCTTGAAGGTCGTTCTCGTACCGGTTCCTCTACCTCGCGCCGGGCCTCTCTCTGCCTACCTCTTCCTGCCGAAGAGCTTGGAGAGACCTTTTGAAGGTGTCGTGGCTGCACTGCCGTGAGATGCCAACGAAGGCTCGCTGAGGCGGGCGGCACCGGCTGTGGCCCCGCCGCTGCGGAGGTCCCTGGAGCTGCTGCTGGCGACGGAAGCAGTGCCGGAGCGGTTTGAGAGCGGGGGCGAGTAGATGCCGCCGTTGCCGTCGCGGTAGCTCAGGTGGGACACCTCGCTCCTGCTCTCGATCCTCTGCAGCCGCTCCGGCCTGGTCCCGCGCATCGACGATGACGACGACGACGATGACGACGAGGCCATGGCCGACGAGGTCGACTTCTTCTTGAGGAGGGAGCTGATCTTGCCGCCGCCGCCGGACTTGTGCGGGTCCTGGGCGAGGAACTTTGCTTCGGCGGCGAGGATGCTGACGGGTTCCTCGTCGTCGCCGCCGCGGCGGCTGCTGCGCAACGATCGGCCCTTGCGCTCCATTTCGGCGCGCGCGGCGGCGAGCTGCGCTGCTCGTAGCCTCTCGGGGTTGCGCGTGAGGCGCTCGAACTGCTCCTTGGAGAGGCCCTGCTCTGCGAGGTAGTAGGTCGAGAGCAGCGGGGGCAGGTCGTCGATGACTTCGGCCTCGGCGGCATCGGCGTCGTAGTGCGTGGGCGCCTGGCCGAGCTCCTCGTCGAGGCCGCAGGTGATCTTGGACGTCTTGGCGCGTCGCAGCAGCTCGCGCGGCTCGAGCTCGTTGGACAGGCTCGAGTTTGAGCTGTGGCTGAGGACCGAGGGTGGGCCGCTGTGGTTCAAGGAATGGCGCCCAGAGTCTGGCTGGGACCGCACGTCGTCGAAGCCGTCGTGCTCGTGCGAGAGACTGGGCGGCGAAAAGGCAAAGGGGTGGTCGCCGTCGTTCGAGACGACGCTCGCGATCTCGTCGCGCCTCGGCATCAGGGTGGCGATCGAGGCCTTGCTGCGAATGGTTCCGGGCATGCCGGCGTGGTGCTGCGAGGATGCTGATGGCGGGTACTGCGACGCGGCGGTCGGGGCCCTTGTACCGTGCCAATCAAACTCGTCCAGCACCGAGAGCGGGGCGTTCTGAGCGGGCGGGAGGTCGGCGGCGGCTGTCGATCGCGACGGCGGCGATGGAAAGTTGTCGACAGCCAGCGTCAGGCTTTCTCGCCGCTGCGGGGCCGATGTGTCGGCGGCATTGGAGCAGGTGCGCCGTCTGCTTCCGGCCAGGCGCTGCTCGCCATCGAGGGCAAGAGCCGCCATTGCTGCTGTCGTATCGGGGACGGGCACGTCTGGGAGCATCTTGCCGTGTGCCGGCTCCATGGGTGCCGTCGACGGCCGCAGTCTTTGCGCGCGCCGCTTGGTCCCGATCGGGCGGAGGCCGGTCGTCGTCGAGCTTTCGCGCGTCACAGCGGTGGGTGTCATAAACTTGACCCTGGTCCTGGGCGCGGCGGCGGAGGCGACGTGTTGCAAGCTGTCGAGGTCCGAGTCGTCCTCGTACGGCGTCTGTTGGCCGAGCTCGCTGGCGTAGTCCGAGTTGGCGTAGCCGTAGCCGTTGCCGTCGCGGTCGCGAAGGCCGATGGACGAAGGTATGGACTCGGCGTGCGTCGAGACGCTGTACGACAGGCTGGGCGAGCTGCTGTTGGTGACGTCGTAGTCGGCATCGTCGAGCTCCGCGTAGGGCGCACGGTGGCTGAAGCTGTCCTGAAGGTGGCCGAGGCGCGAGGTGTAGTCCATCGGGACGTACTCCTTGCGCGCGGGAAGGCAATCCCCGTGCACGACAACCAAGTCGTTCATTGGAGCTGGCGGAGGAGCAGGGCCGAGAGAAGAGCCCAGGTCGTTGACGAGATGGGAACGCCGCAGCAGCGAGCGCGAGCTGTTGTCGTCTGGCAAGGGGCTCTAGATGGAGGAACAGGATCAAGGGGCACGTCGAGGAGGTGCTGAGGCCAAAGAGATCGCCGTGCCTTTTTGACGGACGGAGTGCCGACGCAGGCAAAGATCGAAGGCTACGGGGCGTCGAGCGGTGGGCGGTGGGCTGTTCGTTGGTGAGATTGATGTACTCGCAGCAGCGTGGTGGTGGATCAGCCGTGGGCCTGGAGAGAAGGCGGCGCGGAAAGGACGGGGTGCAAAGACGGGGATTGCGGTGGGTCCGGAGATGATGTCCTTGGCTGGCCTCTAATGAGGCAGGGGAGGAAGAGCTACTCGGAGCAGTCTCGTACGGCCTTGCTCAGACAGCGGAGGGGTGGGTGGGCCTAACCTGACCTGACCTGACCGGCGAGCGTAACGAGGGAGCCACGGCGAAGTCGGCGGTGTGGGAAGCTCGACGAGGTCCTCGTGCCTTTTCTTTCCTGCGTCGTTGGCAGGAAAAGTCAAGAGAGGACGAGGGGACAAAGGCACAAAGCGCAGGAGATGCGCGATGCGTGGGACCGGGCAGCCAGGCGGGCCAACAGGAAGCCAGGCACCGTACACTGTAGGAGGATGCTCGAGGCAAAGCGTCGTTGCAGCAGGATGGGGTGATGGTCGGGCCGTTGTGAAGCGCACAAACGGCGTCAACGGCTCCCAGGGATGGTACGCCACATAGCTGCCGGGGCGCTGCCTGTAGGCGCAGCAGGGTCAAGCAGCTCCGTGCCAGCGTTCGGGACGGATAGCAGTCCGGCCCTTTGCGGTGGTGACGACGACGACCGCAGGCAGATGGGCAGAATAAGATAGGGTCAACCGCCGATGAATCGAATGTGGGGAGAGGTTGGTTAGAGGGACGCAACCCTTTGGCCAACGGTCAGTGTGAAGGCGTTCGTTGTCGCTGCGGGTGGCTCAACCTGCGCAACGGTGGCCTGGACAGCGGCAGCGCACACACGGTACATATGGAGCCGCCACCACCCAAAGCAGGCGGGCAGGCAGGCAGGCATGCAGGGTTTGCGTGCGTGTGTGCGTGCGTGTCATGTATGGAGGGTGTGTGAGAGCTGCTCGTCGTGCGACTTGGACTGGACTCCACTGCTCCTGCAGCCACCGCAAACGAGGGGCGAACCAGAGTGTCGGTTTGGCCGACTGGCCGAAACGGAAGCGGACCCGCTCCGTCGTCGTCAACAAGCAAGTCGTCACACAGGCAAAACGCCCTTTGCCTTGCCTCCGACCTCGACTGGACCGCGCGCCTTTTGCGCCTTGCTTGGCGGTCGGTCGCTGCCGGTCGTCGGAGATTCGGCAGCGGGACCAGAGAGGGGCTTTCATGGCTTGCATGGCCAGGCCTGCATGGCCAGGCCTGCATGGCCGAACCAATGACGGCGGATCGGGCCGGCCGACTGTAGTAAGTACAACAGTACCTTGGCAGGACCATGGGCGGAGGTCGAAAGAGTGGGACGCCACCATGGGAGCCAGCCGATGCAAAGGGCCCTGCAAACTAGGGACGCGTGCGGCCTTTCATGGCCAGGGATGGCGACCGACATCGGCGTTAGGCAGGCAGCAGGTCAGGAAGGGCCGGGCCAGCGATCCAACCACAGCTCACGATCTAAAGCGTTCCGCTTCCGACCGACCGACCAATGACCCCTGAGGTGGGCCAGGCTACGCTTGGAGCTCAGAATCGAAATGTGAGACCGCGTGGTCGCGACCCAGTCCAGCCACAGTCGGACCTCCCGAGGACATGGCCGCACGCGGGCAGCGGTCTCGCCCCGGTCCGCCTGGTCTGCCCGTCCCTTGCTCTGCTTGGTCTCGTCCTGAAAAGCGGCGCGGGGCTTTCGGCGTCGAAAGGCTGTTGGAAAGGATGGGAGCCACAGCCAGGCCTCTTCTTTGCACGATGAGCGGGCGTACTCCGTCGAGCGATGGGCTGGCGGCGGACCAGTCCAGGTACCCACGCCCTGCGGGTGGCTGCCTGGCTGCCTGCTCGCAGCGCACAGCCGCCGCGTGGGCCCAATCATCGGCGGCGTTCTTGCCGCAGACCTCGGGCCGATCAACACAACAGGGCCGACGACCATCGGATGGGTTCCGGCGCACGCTTCGTAATAATGGCAGACAGGCAAGGACCGACAGGCCGGTAGAGACGCACACAGGTCAACACGAACGCTCGAGCCTGCCTTGGGGGACAGGAGGGACCCTGAACGCCAAACGTTAGCCGAGGGCGGAACAAGGCGTTTTTTTGGGGGGGCCGAGGGAGGTACGTTGGATGTCGTCGACCGCCAACAGCGTCTCGGTACGGCAAGAAGAGGTTACGCCCCGCCAGGCCCCTGCTTTTCGTGCCATCGCCGAGGTCCACGGGCCTGGTCCGCGGCGGGAACAGAGAGAAGATCTACCGTGCCCAGCCAGTCGAGAGGAAGCCAAGCTGAGGAGCGCAGCGAGATACCAGGCCGGACCTGCCATGCTTGCTGCCGGGCCACCTCTTCTGTCGCTTGGTGCTCTGCCGTGTCAACCGCAGCGGCAACCTTTGGCCGGCCGGCTGGCTGGCTGTGCGGCAATGCAAGCCTCCAACCCTGGGAAGCGGACCACGTTGCTACCGGATTGTAGCGCCCGAGCGCCACCGTCCCGTCAGGCTACTTAGCAAGCAAGCAGCAGCATGTACCGGTAGGTAGCTATCTATGTCATACACGGACGGATCAGACTTGAGACGGAGACGAAGAGGCCGAATCACCGCTGCACCTCTCTCTTTTGCCCACATATGTACAACACTCTTCTGGCTGCCGGCCTGAGATAGCCCGCGACGGGATCGAGCCCCCTTGCACCCCGCACCTTCAATTGACCAGCCGTGGCCAGCGGTTCGGCGGCGGGCTCTTCCTTTGTCCGTAGCGTCGAGTGGCGTGTGCCTGCGTCCAAAGGGTCGATCGGAGCCCAAGACGAGGGGGGACCCTGCCCCGCCCAGCCAGTCGTCCTCGAACCTGACTCGCTCGTCCAAGATCACCTCTCTCCGCCAGAACTCCCCTACGAACCCTTTCGAGGTCCGCCCACCTCTGCCCGCCTGACAAGGTGGATGATGAAAGCACGCCTCCTTTTCCTCATTTCGATCGCCCGACACGTTCTGCGGCCGCAAGGTGGGAATTGGGCCGAGATCCAGAGGAGAAAGCGCGGCTTGCAGTTGGCTCAATTGTGCGTGCGGCCGATCGCCGCATCTGTAGGTCGATGTCTCGGTGCAAGGCAACCAAGGGAGAGAGTAGTAGTCGCCAGGCAGTAGTTGCGGTGGTTCGGCTTCGACGACGACGACGACGAGCCACGGATGTCCAATCGATCCAACCAACCGGTGAGGACAACGACAACAAAGCAAGGACGACGACGGCGACGACGAGGCAGCGCGAGCGGCCGGCCGTTGTCGGTCCTTTTCGGTGCGCAAGACGCCACAAAAAAAGCTTTGCTTGCTCGCACCGCCACCCCCACCTCGCCTTTTGCCGCCGTGAGAAAAATGCAGGCAGACGAAAAATCACCGACGATTCGCGGCCGGTCGTCGATGCTCCATTATTGAGGGAGACCTCCGATCGACGAGGGACGATCCACCGTCGTATCGTTCAGGTCTTGTCATGCCGCACACGAAAGCGTCATGGCCGTCTGCTGGGGCTACGAGCTGGCCGCCTTCACCGTAAAGCCGCCCACACGGCGTCCTTTGAGGGAGAGGGGAGGACCAAGACCGAGCAAGCAAGACCAAGCAAGAGCGCAGCCACGCGGCGGTGTGCTTGGCGTCTTTCGCCAAACCTGACCACGCAAGGGGCTTGTTTGAGCTTCGAGAAGAAGACAAACTCAAATGGAAAGGGCCAATTTGGATGCCTGCCCGCTGCGTGCGGGCAAAGGAGGCGCAGGCAGGAAAAAGGCAGACCGACTACCTCTGGCCTGCGTGCAGACAACGCGGGAACCGCATCACCCACCTCACCCCCTTGCATCCCGCGAACGGACTCAGGACCGGCCAGGTCGGAGCCGCACGCACACACACACGCACAAGCGCACCTTCAGCGTATCGGTCAGCCGGAGATGAGATGCTGGGGCAGAGGTCGTGTTCATGATGATTGTCTTTTCGCCTCTGCACAACGCCGCCAGCGAGGTGCTGAGCGAGCAAGAGAAGGGCGAATGTCGTCTTGTCTCAGGTCATAGGAAGGTTGCGGAGGAACGACAGCGTGCCCAGGCAGTGCTCGAGGAGGTCCACCACCCGCTTGCTCTCGCGGTGGTTGGCCGAGATGCACTCTGCCAGCGCACTCGCCAGCTCCCTGCCCTCGTCCCCCTCGCCCTCATCCTCATCCTCGTCTTGGCCTTCGCTCTCGTCGACGCCACGCCCGTCCTGCCGGCGCGATCCGTCCGGCCTGACGCCGTACTGGATCAGCACGTCCGAGTGGATGCGCAGGAAGAGCGAGAGGAGCGCCTGGACGGCCTCGTAGTCGCGCTGCTGGTTGAGCCGCTTGGTGAGGGTGCGCAGGAACAGCGTCAGGTCCGAGGGAAGCGTGAGCGAGCGCACCTCGGCATCCAGCGCCGGCACCGAGAGCGTCTCGAGGTAGAGGAAGAAGCCCGTCGCATCGTCCGACGCCGCGACCGCCTTCATGCGCTGCACAAAGTCGCTGTCGAACGTCAGCCCGCCCGAGGAGCCGCCGCCAAAGTGCGTCAACCTCCTCGACCTCGCCGCAGCCTCGTCCTCGCCGTCGGCCGCGCCAGCAGAAGCATCGGCGGCGCCCGGCGCAAACTCAAATGTCGTCCCCGCCTTCTGCGGGAGGAAGAAGGGCGCCTTCTCGGGAGCCTTGGGTGCCTCCTTGGGCTTGTTGCGCTTCTTGATCGTGTCGAGGTTGAGCAACGTCATCCAGCGCGACCGCGGCATCGTCGACAGCGTCACGAGCCTCTCGCCGTCGGCGTCGACGAGCTGCGGCGGCGAGGTGTAGGTGCGCTGCAGCACGGCCTCGCCCGCGTCGAGGGTGGCCAGAGCCTCGTCCTCGATCTCGCCCTGCACCGTCGGCAGCGCCACTTCATCGTCCTCTTCCTCATCGTCGTCATCGTGTTCGCCCACGACGCGCGCAGCCTCGTCGAGGCCGCGGAGGGCCACGTTGGTGAACTGCGCCTTGTTGGCCCAGAGGAAGATGCCGACGCTGTCGACGTGCGACGTGGCGAGGAAGTCGCCCGTGGGCGAAAACGACAGGCTGGTGGCGATCGACGCCGTCTTGAAGGCGTCGACCATGCGGCCGCTGGGGATGTCAAAAGTGCGGATCACGCTGTCCATCGACGTCGTCACGATCCACCGCGCGTCTGAGGACACGGTAACGTCGAGGATGCGGCCGCGGAAGCCAGCAAACTCTCGCACCGTCCTGCGAGTCTCGATGTCGACGAGGCGCAGGACGAGGTCGTCGCAGATGATGGCAAGCAGGTTGGAGCCGCGATGCAACTCGATGGCCGAGATGCCCGAGGGGAGCGTCGAGGTATGCAGCAGCTCGGTCGTGGTAAAGTCAAAGTAGTGGAGGCGGCCATCGATGGTGCTGACAACGCAGAGGCGGTTGAGCGCGTCGGTCGCCACGCCCGTCACTGCGCTGCCCTTGCCCTTGGCCTTGAGCGCCGTCAGCGCGCGTTTGCTACCGGCAGGATGCTCCTTGGCCCGCTGCTTGGCCATCGGATCTTGGGGCCGCGTGTCGTAGGTGCGTCGGTGGATGTAACTTTGCATGTTGTACGCCTCAACGAGCCCCTCGCTGTTGCCGACGAGGGCAAAGTTGCCGCATGCACTGACACAGCCCGTCCTCGCCTCGGCCGGAATCTTCTTGGACTGCGACGCGGCGAGCGCGGAGCTGCCCATGCGCTTGTCGCGGACAGTCCAGGTGTGGCCGAACTGGAGGCCCTGGTGGGTGGTCAGCACGTCGTCCCAGTCGCGCGACCGCGTGTTGCTGTAGGAAATGGCCGAGGCGGGCGGTAGCTTGAGCGAGGCCACCGAGACCGAAAGCTGGTTGGACTTCTTCTGGAGGTGGCCCTGGCTCAGCTCGAAGCTGCGGCTGTCGCGTACGACGCTGATGCAGCGGAGGCTGCGGTCTCGCCCGGCGCTGAGGACGTTCTTGCCGTCCTCACCGTAGTAGCGGATGAGATGGGGCGGCTGGTGGTGGCCGCCGCGCATCTTGAGCAGCCGAGGAGGGATTGTCGGGCTCTCAAAGAACCACTGCTTGAACGAGTTGTCGCCGCCGGACGAAACCAGGAGGGCCTGGCCGGGAACAAACTCGATGGAGCCGACAGGCCCCTCGTGCGCCTCGCGGAGGGAGTGGGAGAGCTTGGGACCTGGCCGCTGGCCGGTGCTCGTAGACGGAGCGCCGGCCGAGGCGGAAGGGTCGAGGTCGAAGATGGAAATGTTGCCGGTGTTGGTCGCGATGGCCATCGTGTGAGCTCGGCCGTCGTTGCGGAAGCTGATGGACCCCGAAGAGAGGCCGCCCTCGACATGAAGGGAAAAGAGGGGCTCGTCGAGGCGGACGTCGTGTACGAGCACATCGCCGTCGGCGAACCCGATGGCAACGACATCGACGGCAGGAGTCTGGGTGAGGCAGACGATGGCGCCTCCGGCCACGGCGTCGGCGGACGCGGAGCTGCGGGCATGCTTCTTGAGGTCGGCGGAGTCGAAGCTGTGGATGAGGGAGCCGGTGCGGATGTTCCAGATCTGCAGCTCGCCTGAAGCGGAGCCGACGAGGACCTTGTTGAGGTAGGTGGCGGGATGAAGCACCGATGTGGCCACAAACGTCGAGGGAAAGTCGAGTCTGCGGATGAGCTCGGTGGTGGCGAGCGACCAGATAAACATGGATCTGCCGTCTGCCGACAGCGAGATGATGGAATCGCCAAAGACGAGCAGCGACGAGAGCTGGGTGCCTTCCGGGGAGGAAGGAGCCGAGGACGACGAGGAAGAGTCGGAGCTGGCGCCGTCATCGCCGTCGCCGTCGCTGTCGCTGTCGCTATCACCATCGCTGTCCTGGTCCATTTCGTCGCCTGCGCCGGTTCTGAGCGCAGAGTCGATCGACGCGTCGACAGTGTCGTATACGGCGACCGTCTTTCCTCGGACAAAGCGGTAGACCTTTGTCCCGGCGGCTGCAAGTACGCTATCGGGCGAGGTGGAGATGGCGAGGGCCGAGATGGGAGCGGGGAGCGAAGGGCCGACAAAGAGGAGGGTCATGCGTTCTGCCTCCCACATGGCCCAGCTGTCGCCGAGGCAGGTGATGACGTTGAGATCGGGCCGCGTAGCATCCTTGCCACCGAAGCGGGTCTGAAGCACAAAGGGGACGTCGTTGGAGATGAGGCCAAGGGCCCGAAAGGGGGCAAAGAGGCGCTGCTTGGAGATGAGGGCCTTTTGCTTGGAGCGTGCGAGCGCCTGCGGGTCGACGTCGTGGCGTTGCCGCTTCGCAGACGGCGTCCTATCGGGCGCCGGCATGGTGTGAGCGTGGCAATGGCGATGGCGATGGCGAGAGACCGAGCGAAGGGAGGAGCAACGAGCAGATGGCGATGGCGGTGAAGGAGAAGGAGTTGCGGATCGGTCGAGGCGGGCAGGCAAGAAGGCGGTCCAGGGTCAGAGGGCCCAGCCAAGCCGGCGAAGAAAGAAAAATCCGCGAGCGAGGGCCTGTGGCCGTCGAGGTTGGAAAATTGGGCAGGCCTCTGACTTGGCAATTTCATTGAGTCGCATCGCAGGATCGACTTGGTCAGCAAGAGGTCGCTTTGAATTCGTTCGACCAGGAACCCGGCGCGGAACTCGGGAGCGCAAAAATGGCGCTGGCCCAAATTTTTGGAAATTTGTGGGACGCCGGGCGCCTCCCCGCAGGCTCTCTGCTGAGGCCAGGCCAGCCTGGCTTTTTTCTTCGCTCGCGAGCAAGCAGCGCCCGCTTGGCCGCCCCTTCATCGCCTCGATCCTCTGTCACGACCACGACCACCGCCACCACCACCAAGCAATACCGCAGGCGGACACTACCGTCACATCTCCACCCCCCCCCCCCCCCCCCTCCCCCGGTCACCATGGCGCCCGCTCCCACCACGTCGTCGGCGGCTGACGCAGAGGCACAGCTCGCCTCGCAGCTCGCCGCCGATGTCGCCACCGCAGAATCCGCCGTCGCCTCTTCGTCATCGACCTCGAAGCCCGCAGCTGTTCGTCAGCCGTTTTCCTCGATCGACCTCAGCGAGCCTACGCGCCGCGCGCTCCAGGAGATGAAGTTTGAGACCATGACCGAGGTCCAGGCGCGCTGCATCCCTCCGCTCATGGCCGGAAAGGATGTCCTCGGCGCGGCCCAGACCGGCTCCGGAAAGACGCTCGCCTTCCTCATCCCCGCCATCGAGATGCTCCACCGCCTCAAGTTCAAGCCGCGCAACGGCACGGGCGCCATCATCATCTCGCCCACCCGCGAGCTTGCGCTGCAGATTTTTGGCGTGGCAAAGGAGCTCATGCAACACCACAACCAGACCTTTGGCATCATCATGGGCGGCGCCAACCGAAAGGCCGAGGTCGACAAGCTTCAGAAGGGCGTCAACCTGATTGTCGCCACGCCGGGCCGCCTGCTCGATCACCTGCAGAACACCAAGGGCTTCGTCTTTTCCAACCTCAAGGCGCTCTGCATCGACGAGGCCGACCGCATCCTCGAGATCGGCTTCGAGGACGAGATGCGCCAGATTGTCAAGATCCTCCCCAACGACAACCGCCAGTCGATGCTCTTCTCGGCCACCCAGACGACAAAGGTGCAGGACCTCGCCCGCGTCTCGCTCCGCCCGGGCCCGCTGTACATCAACGTCCACGCCGACCTGGCCGCCTCGACCGTCTCGCGCCTCGAGCAGGGCTACGTCGTGTGCGACTCGGACCGCCGCTTCCTCCTCCTCTTCACCTTCCTCAAGAAAAACGCCGGCAAGAAGATCATCGTCTTTATGTCGTCGTGCAACTCGGTCAAGTACCACGGCGAGCTGCTCAACTTTATCGACGTCCCCGTCCTCGACCTGCACGGCAAGCAGAAGCAGCAGAAGCGCACAAACACGTTTTTCGAGTTCTGCAACGCCCCCAGCGGCACGCTGCTCTGCACCGACGTGGCCGCGCGCGGCCTCGACATCCCCAAGGTCGACTGGATCATCCAGTTTGACCCGCCGGACGACCCGCGCGACTACATCCACCGCGTCGGCCGGACGGCGCGCGCCGGCAACGCGGGCAAGTCGCTCCTCTTCCTGCTGCCGTCGGAGCTCGGCTTCCTCCGCTTCCTCAAGGTGGCCAAGGTGCCCCTCAACGAGTATACGTTCCCCTCGGACAAGATTGCAAACGTCCAGGGCCAGCTCGAGAAGCTCATCTCGAAAAACTACTACCTCCACCAGTCGGCGCGCGACGGCTACCGCTCCTACCTCCAGGCATACGGCAGCTACTCGCTCAAAAAGATCTTCGACATCCACCGCCTCGACCTGGCCAAGGTCGGCAAGGCCTTCGGCTTCGCCGTCCCGCCAAAGGTCAACATCTCGATTGGCACCGGCCTCAAGAACACGGCGCCCACCAACGGCAAGCGGAAAGAGGTCGACGCCGACGGCGATGACGACGAGGCCGAGGCCGGTGGTGAGGCAGGTGCGGGCCGCGGCGCCCGCGGGTCAGCGCCGGCCGACGACGAGTACAACGACAAGAGGCAAAAGGTGGACCGGCGATCGTACAAGGGCAAGGACGGGCAGCGCGGCAAGGGCGGCAAGCCGTCGGCCAACGCCTTTAGGAAAAAGGCACGGGACGGCAAGCAGTGGAGCCGTTGATCCCGTCCCGCCCTGCCCCGGCCTCGTTGCGTGTGCGCGGCCCTCGATCCTCTTTCTTTCACGGCGACGTCTCTCTTTGTCAACTGTACTTTAGCATCCTCTCCCTCCCCGCTGCCCCTCGAAAGCGGACATCCATCCTCCGGTGCAGCACTTCCGCCCGCGCCCGCTCGCGGGCGGACCTTCATGCCGTCTTGTTCGTCGACGACCGTTGAGCAGCCAACGTGGCGGCATGGCGCTGAAAGACGACGTCGACCTTGTCAAAGTGGGCCTCGTCGTTGGTATCCACCATTTCGCCTGTGCGGAGGCAGAGGGGTGGACCAGAGGGCAGGGAGCGGGGCGCCGATGCAGGTCAGCGATGTCAAGTCCCGCCGCGATCCGCACAGGCCAGGACGATGACGACGACGACGTACCGGCCTTGACGTCGAGGGATCCACCGTCAAAGCGGGGCCAGGAGGGGCAGGATTCCGGTATGGCCGTGTTGAGGTCCACGGTATTTCCTCTTGCCGTTTCTCGTCCCTCTCCCACTTCCCCGTCCCGACGATCCCGATCGCTGTCTTGATGAAAACGACCGAGGACAAAGGCAGTGATGAGCGACCAGACCTTGGCGGTATTGGCATTGTCGTACCCGCCTCCGCCGAGGAGGAGCAGTTTGCGCTCGGGCGATGTGGCCGTATCGCTCCCGGCTCGAGGACGGGTCCAGGAGAGGATGAGGGACAGAGCATGTAGGATGCTCAAGGCGTCCAGGTTCCACGTCGCCATCGGATCGCCGGCTAGACCGTCCAGGCCGAATTGGACCACGATGCACTCTGGCTGTGTTTCGTCGGCGCGCAGTCGGTCGTGCACCGCGCATCGTCCGGTCAGTCGAGGGTCGAGGATCGAAGCGGTGCGAGGAGAAACGGGCGACGAGAGATGGAAAGAAAGCCGGGCGTGGACTCACATCAAACGTCTCGACGATGCTCTCGACGTTGGCCTTCAACACGCGACGCAGGCTGTCGCCGTTGGCGCCCGGGAGCAGCGGGAGGCACAGGGCCTTGCTGGCCGCTGCCGAGCCCGATGGTCCACCCGTGCATTCCAACGATCCCGGCGCGCCGTGCTTCGTACTCGCCGCCGCAACCTGTGCATCTCCGTTCGCGGCGCTCGACGCAGCAGAGGGCGCGGCGTGGTAGCACGGAAAGAAGCCCGGCGCATAGTGGTGGATGGACAGCGTGAGGACCGAGGAGGACGTGTAGAAGGCCTCTTCCTGGTGGCCGTGCTCGCCGAAAGACGGACCAGGGCCAGGCAAGGCAAGGTGGGCGGAGGCGAGAGTCAGTACTGTGCCGCGTGGAGTGACTGCGGTGTGTGCAGAGCGAGGATACGCACCACGCCGTCGCCCCAATGCAGGTCGAGGTCGAGGTAGAGGATGCGGTCCATGCGCGTCGAGACGGTCTTGTAGCGCTTCGGGCCCGGTGGCGTCTTCGGCGCCGTTGTCGCCGTCTCGGTCCCATCTGCTCCGCCGTTCGGAGCGAGACACTGTTCGACGACGGGAACCCTCCGCTTCCGCAGCTTGCGCAGCGCCAGGATGGCGAGCACGGCGTCGTTGACGTAGCAGAACCCGGACGCGGCGTCCTTCTTGGCATGGTGTCTGCAGGGACCCGCCGTGGCAGAGACAGAGGTCAGCCGGTCCTCATCTGCGAAACAGCGACCGGGGCTGAGCATCAGCTCACCTGCCGCCGTCCCAGGCGATGGCTACATCGACCTCGCCCGTCGCCAATAGCTCGGCGGCACGGATCGACGCTCCCGCCACCAGCTCCACGTGATCTTTGAGTCCCTCGAACGGTGGGCAGTCCTGGCCGTGAGGGATAGGGGCGAGAGTGCAGTCAGCGGATCTGACCAGCAAGCGTTCCCAGTCCGTGGCGACTTACATCGACAAGTCCAAACTGGTTCTTGGTTCGAGGCTGCGCTCGTTGTTCTGTGGCATCTCGATTCGAGGGCGAAGGGGGTCGGAGCGGCCGTGGTCGCTCCTCGTCATTGCTGTCGCTGTCGGTGCCATCTTTGGGAGCGACCTCCTCTGCCTGTTCCTGCTCCCCATCCAGTAGCCGCCTGACAAACGCCTTGTCGTGGTACACTTCGAGCTCCTGCCTCGTCGCTCTACGAGGTTCGTAGACCACAGCTCTGTTCTCGAGCCTGCCCGCCTCGTCCATCTCCCTCTCGCCTCCAACATCTGCGCCGAGGTGACGCAGGAGCCGCCTGTACTCGGATTTCCGCGCCGACGTCTTCCTCCTCTTTGTGGGCGGCGAAGCGTCGTTGGGCTCGGGCGATGCTGATCCACGCTGATCGTCGTCGTCGGCGGCGGCGAGGTGGCGCAGGTCGAGGAGGTCGAGGTGGTAGATGAGGCTGTGGACCAGCGTGGATCGACCCTGGTTGGAAGGGAGGAGGTCGCTGCTCTCGAGCAGCGAGGACGAGAGCAGGTAGCCTACCCGCAAACCCTCGGGCGGCGCCGATGGCGGCAGGGATGCCGAGGTCCTCATGCTGCGTGCGTGGTTTATCGAGTGGCGGAGAGGGGAGAGGGTGTTGGGCCCTTGGACCGATGCGAGCAAGTCGTCGACCAACACCGCCTCCCACAGCCCACGCGCCGCGTGTGGAGGACTCGGGGAGGGGACGCGTTCGAACCGCTCGCATGGCCTGGTCTCGCCTGGCCCGGCCCTGGCCTGGCCCTGGCTGGCGGCACATCATCCAGGCACGGCTCGATGCCGAAAGGCAGACCGGAGGGGCATGGCAGGTTCCGATTCATGTACGAGACAGGCAGAGAGGCGACGAAACGACTACGAAATACAGGCAGGCAGGCAGGCAAGGGCGAGGGCGAGGGCGAGGGCGAGGGAAAAGAGGATCGCGAAACAAGAGGCATGCCAGCAGCGCCTCGAGACCCGATCAGGGTCAGGCCTGATCGCCGCCTCACTTGGCCTCGTCGGCCGTCGAAGACGACGCCGGCGGCGGCGCTGCATCCGTCGATGGCGCCGCGCCAGCCTCCGCTCCCGCTTCAGCCTCGTCGGCAGCAGTGGCCGCGCTCCGGGCACCGCCTTCGTCTTTAGCTCCAGCGGCCTCGACCTCACCGCTCGGCTTCACCGCCTCATCCTTGGGAGGCGCACCGCCTGCAGCCTCGGCGTCGGTCGGCTTCTCGCCTTCTTCTCCCTTGGCTGCAGCGGCGGGGGCGGTATCGGTGCTCGCCTGGCCAGAAGGCTTGCTAGCCTCGTCTGCCGGAGCAACCTTGGCATCGTCCGACGAAGTTGCAATTTCGGCTGCGGCCGCGGCACCAACGGCGGGACCGGCCTCGTCGGTCCGCATGGGCTCGGGCGCATCCGTGGCAGCGGCAGCCGCAGCGGCGGCGGCTGCAGCCTCATTTGCCGCAGCTTCCTCTTCCTCGGCGTCGAGCGAAGCCGGGTCGTCGATGGCCTTGCGCCTCCTCTCGAGCCACCTCGAGAATCGCCGCACCCGCTTCGTCTTGACCTCCCCGGCCTTGCCGTCAATCTCGTCGACCTCCGACTCGGGCCGGAGTCGCACAAACGTGTCCTCGCTGTCGTGCACAAAGAAGAGCTTGTACGTCCGGATGCACACCTGGCAAGGCGTTACGAGTGGAGGGACCGGGGAAGCGGCAAGGATCGCATCAGCAAAAGCATCCCTGGGCAGGCAAAGCAAGCATCGACCATCAGCGCCGAGGGCCCCAGACTCACCCGGATCTCCAGGCCGCTCCTCGTGATATACCGCGTCCCGGCCGCATCGTTCTCGAGCGTGGCATTGGCGGGGCAGGTCCTGACAGAGGAGTCAGAAACGAAAGAATCGCAGAACGTCAGCAAAAACCCAGTCCGGCAGCGGCGACGGCTTCCAGGCTCGGCTGCTCACCTCTTCAGGAAGGGAGCCTGCGCCTCGACGGGCAGGCCCTCGGTCGGCGTCCACAGGCTGAAGCTTGAAATGTACTGCAGCCAGCGGTGCTCGGCGTCCTGCGCATCGTCGAGGGTGACGTCGTCGCGCGACAGCATCTGGACGAGCAGCGTGCTGCTGGCCGGCACCCACTCGATGCGGAACAGGTTCTCGTCCTTGCCGATTGCGGCCTCGGCGGCCATGCGGTTGGCAATCTGGTGGCGATATCCGTCGACGACACCGCGCTTGTTGTCGGCGCGGTCACGATCCAGGATGCCCTGCAGCTCCTGGCACTTGGCGTCTGTCGTCAGCGCCTGGACCGTCTTGACCAAAGCGCCAATCGCCTTGTCCAGCGTGAAGACCACGTACGCATCGATGCCGTACATGTAGCGCGCGCTCTCCTCAAACGTGGCCTGGTCAATGTCGCCGTCAAACAGCTTCTCGCACATGTCGAGCAGCGTGTCGTAGTAGCGCGACGGATGCAGCGTCAGGCCGGCCTCCTCGTTGGTCGGGGCGACGGGGCCCAGGCTCGAGGCGTTGGCTGTGGCGCCGACGACGGCGGCAGGCCCGCTGGCACCGTCTTGCAGGCCGAGCTCGACGGCGATGGGGTTGATCTTGTGGCGCACGGGCTCCTTGGCGGCCATCTCTGCTCCAAGCGCCTTCATCTTGTACAGCCGCGAGTAGAGGAGCTGCAGCAGGCGGACAAAGACAAAGTAGGTGGTGTTGCAGAAGAAGTGGACCTGCTTGGTGCCGCGGTGGCGGTTCTCGATGTCGGCGCCCTGGCCGAGCGAGCTCGACTGCCCCTTGCGCGAGTCGAAGCTGTTGTTGAGGTCGGTGTTGATCCACGTGGCGGGGCCATCCTTAGCAGCCTCAGCGGCCGACGCATCGGCGCCGGCTTTGTCCTCGTCCATGGCAGTGGCGGCCGCCTCGTCATTGGCGGCGGCCGAAGTGGCGGTCTCGCCGGACTCGCCGGGCCTGACCGCCTCGGGCTCGTCGACGGCAGCCGCTCCGGCAGGGGCCGCGGGAGACGGCGCCTCGGCCATCTCGATGTCGGTCGAGGCGGCAGCGGTGACGGCGTTGGACGACTGGTTGGCCAGCGCCTCGGCGGCCGAGTCGACGTCGGCGAGGATGGCCGAGCTCGACGTGTTTCCAGCGGATACGGCCGCATCGCCCGGGTCGTCGACGGCGGTACCGGCATCGCCGTTCTGCTTCGACGTCTCGGCCTGGTTCTTGAGGATCTTGCGCCGGAGGTCGGCCTGCTGCTTCTTGCCCTTGCGGCCGTTGGCGCTGGCGGTCGATGACGAGCCGTCTGCTTCGTCGTCGGGCGCCGTTCCCTCGCTGCGGCTGTCGTCGTCGGCGTCGTCGTCGTCGTCGTCGTCGTCCTCGACATCGCCGTTGAGCATGTCCTCGAACTCGGTCGACTCGAGCTCGAGCAGCTTGGGCACGAACGACCGCAGGAACGTCTCGATCCGCTCGCGATCGGTGGCGCTGTAGCTGCCCGTGGCGCGGTCGAGGAAGCTGAAGGCGAGCTTGAGCACGTCGCTGAGCACGTGGAGGTCGTCGAGGACGTAGACGAGCTGGTGGCGAGGTCGCGGGCGCGGCAGCTCCGGATCCATGGCGAGGCGGCGCTGCTGCTGCTGAATCTTGCGCGCCTCGATCTCGGCAACGAAAGCCTTGGCGGTGATCGCCTTCTTGTCGGCCGCCTTGAAGTTGACCGCCTGGTGGTCGAGGCTCTTGTAGAAGTTCCTCGCGTCGACCTCGCGCCACACCTTGTTCCACTCGCGCTGCGCCCGCTTCCACTCCTCGTCCTTTTGCTTGAGCCGGTGGAGGACGATGGGCACCGAGACGCACGGGTTGTCGTGGAGCGCGTTGATGATCTCGAGGCCCTGCTCGCGGCCGTAGACCTTTTTGATGACGCGCTGGTAGATGCTCTTGCTCTGACCGCCGAGGCCCGGCTTGAGGCGGAACGAGGCGCGCTCGTCGTTGTCCATCGTCGAGATGCGCGCGGCGATCGGCTCGAGCAGCGCAATCGTGCGCAGGTTGGCCTCGATGTGGTAGTCGTACTCGTGGCGCTCCTCTTCGGAGCGGTAGAGGGCGTCTTCGTAGGGGTTCTTCTTGTGCGGGTTGAACGACTCGCCCTCCGACGCCCACGTCGGGTGGCTGACCCACACGTCGTTGAGCACCTCCCAGCACATGGGATCGCGGCCGGAGCAGGCCAGGTTGACCTCGGACTTGGGCAGCTTGCGGTACGACACGCCATACACCTTGCACGTGCTGAGGTCGACGCGCTCCCGCAGCGAGGCGGGCACGTTTTCGACAATAGGGTCCTCGCCGTCGAGCCAGCCGTGCTTGCCCATGTCGTAGCCGCACAGGCCCTTGAAGGTGGCGTACAGCTCGCGGTGGCCGCCGATGAAGAGGCCGGCGCGCTCGACCAGCGTACGGACGTCGATGATGTCCTGCGAGTACAGGTTGAGCAGCTTGAGGAACTCGAGGTAGGTGGCGCGGTCGTCGATGTGCTTCTTGACGCGATCGAAGAAGGCCACCTCGTCGATGGTGGCGAGCGGCGCTTGCGTCTGCCCGACGGCGAGGCCGTTGACCGCGGTGCCCGGCGGCACCAGCCCGGCCGCCTCGGCCACAACCAGACCATCCGGCCCGTACGCGTCGTGGTGGATCTGCGCCGGGTGCTGGCCATAGGTGGGCGAGGCAGGCAGCGGCTCCGGGCGGAGCGGAGGCGTCCGCTGCTCGGCCTTGTGAGAGTGCTTGCTCTTCTTGGTCTTGCCCGTGGCAGCCTTGCCGCCCGCCTCGGCCGCGCCAGCAGCGCGCTTCTTGCGGCTGCCAGGCTGCGCGGCAGCTCCAGCGCCAGCACCGGCACCAGCGCCGGCCGCGGCGCCGGCAGCACCAGCAGCAGCAGTGGACGGAGCGGCGGCGGCCCCGGCACCCTTCTTGCCCGGCGCCACGCCCACCTCGTGAGAAGGTGCCATGTCCTGCGGCAGGCCACGCATGGCCCCGGACGGCCCACCCATGGGTCCCGCACCGCCGACAACGGCCGAGGGTGGCTGAGCGCCTCCCGGGCCCATGTTGGAGGTGACCTGACCCAGCATGTTGAAGAGGCCCGCGGTCGGCTGCGCGCCGTTGCTCGTGTCCGGAAGGAACTGCTTGAACTCGTCGAGCAGGTCCTTGGCGTTGTCGAAGAGCACCGTGACCTGGGCGTAGACGTCGTGGATCGGCCGCTGCTCCTTTTGATACGTCTGCAGGATCTCGAGGAACTGCTTGTACGTGTCCGGGTCACCCGAGAAGCGCTGCTTGATCTTGTTGACGTAGTTGATGGCATGGTTGAACTCGACCGGCGGCCGCTTGGCGTCGTGCGGGCCCGGGCCGTGCGGGCTGGGTCCGCCGTGCAGTCCGGCGTGAGGCAGCACTGCAGGGCCCTGGTTCGGGGTCGAAGGAGCGCCGGGTCCCATCAGAGGCGACTGCGGCCGGCCGCCGTGACCGTGATGAGGGCCAGGCATGCCCATCGGAGGAGGACCGTGGCCGTGGCCGCCGTGGCCATGGCCGTGGGCATGCGAGCCGGCGTGGCCGTGGAGGTGCGACTGGCCCGGACCCGGTCCCGGTCCCATACCTTGGCCGGGCGGCGCTCCCGGATAGCCCGCGCCACCGGGCCCATGCGACATCGGAGGCGGTCCGTATGCCATGCCT